ATAAAAAATGGAATTTAAATTTTAATGAAAAATTATTTGCCACAATTTAACTTTGTGACCTCCATCATATTACATAACCTTCATACGCCTTTAGTTTTCTTACCTTTAGAATGTGAATAATAGTAATACCTCTCTTATAGGGTTGTTGTGAAGATATGATCAGATAATGCATGTGCAACACAATGAGTATTCAATAAATGTTAGACATTACAGCTATTAATAGTGATTTAGTTTTGGTAATGCTTTAAAGCCATGCTAAAACTTCCCTGCCAAGCTCTCACCTAGCTTCATTCCAGTGAGAGGGAATATGCTACCCCTAAAGATAGCTAAAGAGTGTTAAACAGTTCTGATGGGTCTTTCCTGTAAATCCTAAGTCCTTGCTCAGAACCTTCAGGATTCAATATTGCCTTTCAGTAAAAAGTTCAAAGCATCAAAGCTTTCCACAGCCTGGCCCCAACCAACTTGATATTATGATTTCTGTAAATCCTGGAGTTAGATCTCTAAGCATATTTGAAATCTTCCTTGACACTTTTGCTTAGAATATCCTTGTGAAGAGTAGGTAAAATTGGGTTTCCTCCTACATCTCGAAAACCCTTCCTCTCTGCTAAATTCAAACTACTCTTCAAATCCCATGAGTTCCTGACTAGTCCAAAAGTGATTTATAATTTGAAAAATTATCATCTAACCCAAGCTTCCAGTAGTCATTTATGCCTGTCTCTTCTGCTTTTTCAATTGAGCTTTTATTTAAATTTTAAATTATCACAGAACTTTCCTTAAGTTTGTATGATCTTTCCAGCTAGATTTCTAGCTCCCTGAGCACAGTAGGTATTTCTTACATGTCTATGTATCCCCTGTTGCTCCTAGGGAAGGGAAACTAGCATGTAAATGCTTACTATATGGTAAATGTTTTCTTATATGTATATAACATCTCATTTGTTCCTCATAGAAAACATATAAAGATATCTATATCCATTTTACAGATAAGGACATTGCACTTGAGAAAGGTTAAGTAACATATGCAAGGCACTTTAGTCAGTGGCAGAGCTGGGTTTCTACTACACTGTGCATTTAAATAGCTTGCAAATAATACATATCTTGGAGGAGTAAAAGGCTCATGTGTTTTTGTCCCGGCCCGCGGGACGAACGTGGAGTGTAACCGGAGACGCCTGCAGAAATGAAACAAGCAAGGGACACAAAGAACGACCAGCAAGACAGGGTGTCTGATCAAGCTGGCGCAGTTTATTTGCAGCAGGCTTAATTTATACCGATCAGCAAGGAAGGGGAGGGTCGGAAGATGATTGGACACCAGGTGGTGCTAGCAGGAATGTGTACAAGGGTGATTGGGTCTCGGTGGGCACTGGCGGGAATAGCAAACCTGGAAAAGAAGCAGGAAATCCGCCATCTTGTGGGTGTGGGCCCTTTGGTCTCCGGCATGTTTTATACATTTTTTAATTGAAGTATAGTTAATAGACAATATTATGTTGGTTTCAAGTATAGGACACAGTGATTCAACAGTTACATACATTATTAAATCCTCACCTTAATAGGCAGTTACTATCTGTCAACATAGAAAGATGTTACAGAACCATTGATTATATTCTCCATATTACATTCCATCCCCGTGGCCAACTTATATCATGACTGAGATTTTTATACCCCTTTATCCATTACACCCACCCACTCCAATCCCTCCCCCATGATAACCACCAGTCATTTCTCAGTGTCTGTGAGTCTGTTGCTGTTTTGTTCATTTTGTTTTGTTTTAAACTTCCACATATAAGTGAAATCATACCATGTTTGCCTTTCTCTACCCAGGTTTATACATTTTTCTACTTATTTGTATCCCAGTCTGAAATTAAGAGTGTAAAGGAAACAATTTCAAGGAAGCCAAAAATTCTTCCTCAAAATTAAAATTTGACATGCTGATTATTAACTAACAGCTAAACCATAGAAATTCATGAAGAACTTGAAGTCAGACATAAAATCATAATTTGGGGGTTTAGGTTAAGGGAATTAAAGAGGTTCTATTCTGTTACTTTATGCTTTGAGTTCATGTAATGTGACATGAAATAAATCACAACAAAATAGGACATTCTTAGCGTGCTTGCTGCAAGTCTGTATCCCTTTCAGAAAATTCTTTCTCTTTTTCCATTTTCTAGGGTTACACATCTTTCTGGAATGACTGTATATCATCTGGCCTGCGAGGGGGCATCCTGATAGAGCTGGCCATGCGGGGTCGAATTTATCTAGAACCCCCCACCATGCGTAAGAAGCAACTACTAGACAGAAAGGTATAGCATCCTCTGAACATCCTCTCAGCTTACGAAAAGGCAGATGCCAACAGTCCTTTCAGAGGGATAGGAAGCTTTGAGTGGTGAGACAACATAAGTATCACTGACTCAGCTGTCCCATTATCTGAGACGTTTAATTATTCAGTAACACAGAATAATCCAAGTATCCATAGGCTAAAGAACTATAAGAAGTTTATGGTTTAGTCTTCCTTTTTAAACAGAAAAAGCACATTTAGGATGCTTTTGATTATTTCTGCCTCTGTATCTATTGCTGTAACATTATGAAATAGAGTTTTATACAGAAGGAGGTGAACACTTGGGTCAGGTGCATACTTTGCTTAACTGGTTATCCTGGTTTCTCTCCTTCCATTTATTACAAGTCTTCTCCAGCATATGAGCTATATGCCTCTCTCCATTTTCTTACTTATTTTTTACACTCACAACTTCCCTGTCATACTCAGCACTCTACTGAAACTACATTCTTAGGTACCATTAGCTTCTTCAATCTTCAGTTTATTTTTCTCTTTTAACTTGTATGTGGTGTTTGACACTTCTGACTACCTCTTACTTGAAACCTTCATTCTTGGCCTTTGTTCTAACATATTCTCTTGCTTCTCTGGATGTACCCTATTTCCTTTACTTCTCCATTCCTTAACATCTAAGTTTCAGTTTGTATCCTTGTGCATAGCTTTCTATACTTTTGGAGATTATCATTTACCTTAGCAGTTTCATCTATCACCATCATGATATTAGCTCCCAAACCCCAGGCTTGTCTTCTTTTCCCACCCCAGGAACATATTTAACTACTAGCTAGACATTTAAGCCTGGCTGTCCCATATCATTAAAACCAAACTTACCAACTTTTCCCCCAAACTGGCTTCCTTTCCTAATTTTACTTTCCTGACTACCTTTACTAGTTGTTTCACAAGTTGATTTTCCAGACCAAAAAATTTATTATTGAATCTTTTTTGCATTATCATTTATATCCAGTTTGTCAAGAGGGTCCCCTTCAAATGTTATTTTTGTCTCCCCACTATCACCAAATACTAGGACAGGGAACAGTATATTATGCTGCTTTGCATTTCCTACAGCACTTACCCAGTAATGCATATGTGGTATATTGACATTTTTTAATTTGAATAAAATCAATGGACCAGGGCCCCTTGTTTTTCCTTTCCTGAAAGGTGCTGCTCAAGTCAGACGGCCCGACAGGTGACGCTTTGCTGGATGAAACTCTCAGACACATCAAAGCAACTGAACCCACAGAAACTGTCCAGACGTGGATAGAACTACTCACTGGTAAAGTGCCCAAAATGATTTTTAAAATCCCACTATTGGTCATCTTTATCCCACTTTTTTTTTTTTTTTAAGAGATCAAGGCAGAGGCTTTTATGTAGAGATAAAGTGAGAGGACAGAGCTCCTGGGGGGCAAGAGAGCCCCTCATCCCACTTTTAAGTTCAGAGAAAGTCCAGAAATTCAAGGTGCTGGGTAAGATATATATGGCTCACTGTTTAACCATACTTACAAGGGCCAGAAAAGGTATAGTTAGTCAATACATAAAGGTTTCCAAAGCTTCACCTTACTCTCTTCCCACCCCATAAGCTCTTTAACAGTACTTTTCACAAGAAAATTTTTTAATGTCTTTACTGATACATAATTCACACACCATAAAATTAGCCCATTTAAAATGTACAATTAAATGGATTTTAGTATATTCACACAATTGCACAACCATCATCGCAATGTATGTTTAGAGCATTTTCATCACCCCAAAAATAAACCCCATACTCATTAGTGGTTTTTACCACATTACCCCCAACCCTCCTGCCCAGCTCAAGGCAACCACTAATCCATGTTCTGTCTCTATAGATTTGCTTATTCTGGATGTTTCATATCAATGGAATCATACAATTTATGGTTTTTTGTGACTAGTGGCTTAAGATTAATATTTTCAAGGTTCATTCATGTTTTAGTATGTATCAGTACTTCTTTCCTTCTTTTTTAAGAACAAGTTCAAAAACTTTAATATGAGTACCTAGATATATGGCATAAAATTTTAGGAGAATCTTACACAGGACATTTTGAGGTCACAGCTAGTGTCACCCTCTAGAAAAATTTTTTAATTGAAATTTTTATTGTGATATTTTAGATTTCCCATGCAATTATAAGAAATAATACAGAGATCCACTTCTATGCTTTGCCCAGAATCCTCCACTGGTAACATTTTACAAAACTATACTAGAATGTGACAACCGGGATACTGTCAGTGATACAATCTGCCAATCTTATTAGAATTTCCCCAGTTTTAACTTGACTCCTTTTTATTGCCAAATAATATGTCATTGTATGGATTTACCACATTCATTTATCCATTCATCAGTTGATGGACATTGGGGTTATTTCACTTTTTGGATATGATGAATAATGCTGCTGTGAACATTCATGGACAAATCTTTGTGTGGGTATGTTTTAATTTCTTTTGCTTAATAGTTGACTTTTTTTATTGTGGTAAAATATGCCTAACTTAATATTTATTATTTTAACTATTCAAAAGTGTATAATTCAGTGACATCAAATACATTTACAGTGTTGTGTGACTATCAACTCTTCTATAACCAATGCTTCCTCCTCATCCTAAACATCCCTCTTCTCCCCTCATTCCCTCAACCTTTCTTCTACTCTGTATCTCTGTGAATTTGCCTACACCAAGTAACTCATGTAAGTGGAATCATACAATATTTGTCCTTCTATGTCTGACTCATTTCACTAAGCAAAATGTTTTCAAGGTCCATTCATGATATAACATATATCAAGATTTCATTCCATTCCTTTTTATGGCTGAATAATATTCCATTGTATGTATATACCACATTTTGTTCCTTTCATCTATTGATTCATTTTTAGGTTGTTACCGCCTTTTGGCTGCTGTGGATAATACTGCTATGAACATTGGTATACAAATATCTGTTCAAGTTTCTGCTTTCTGTTCTCTTACCTAGGAATAGAATAGCTGTGTCATACTATAGTTCTGTGTTTTAAGAAACTACCAAACTGTTCTCCACAGACACTGCACCCTTTTACATTCTCACCAGCCATGCATAAGCATTTCACATCCTCATCAACACTTGTTATTTTCTGTATTTTCTTGTGTTTTGTGTTTAATTATAGCCATCCTGGTAGTTGTGAAGTGAAATCTCATTGTGGTTTTGATTTGTATTTACCTAATGACTAATGATGCTGAACATCTTTTCACAAGTTTATTGGCACTTGTATTTCTTCATTCAAGTCCCTTGCCTCTTTCTGAATTATATTCTGTTGTTGTTGATTTTTAGAAATTTTTTTATATTCTAGATATTAATGTGTTATATATGATTTGCAGATATTTTCTCCTATTCTGTAGGTTGTCTTTTCACTTTCTTGATGGTAATCCTTGATGCATAAAAGTTCTTAATTTTGATGGAATCCAATTTATCTATTTTTACTTTTGTTGCCTGCATTTTTTATGTCACATCCATGAAAAAAATTGACCTTTCCCTATTGAATGGTCCTGACGGCCTTGTTGAAAATCAGTTGACCATATATGTGAGGATTTATTTCTTTATAAGGCTCTCTATTCTGTTGCATTGATTTATATGTATCTTCTTAGGTCAGTACCATCCTGTCTAACCTGCTATAGTTTTGTAGTTAGTTTGAAATTGAGGAGTGTGAGTCCTGTAACTGTATTTCTTCTTAAGATTGTTTTAGCTGTTTTGGGTCCCGTGGAATTCCATATGAATTTGAAGATCAGCTTTTCCATTTCTGTGGAAAAGGCTATTGGATTTTGATAGAAATTGTGTTGAAACTGTAGATCTCTTCGAGTGGTATTGACATCTTAACAATATATTAAGTCCTCCTGTCCATTAAATTGGGATGTCTTTCCATTATTTTGGTCACCTTTAATTTCTTTCAGCAGTGTTTTATGTTTTCTCAGCATATAAATCTTTCATGTACTTTGTTAAACTTAGTCCTAAGTATTCAATTCTTTTAGATGCTATTTAAATGGAATTACTTTTATAATTTCCTTTTCAGACTGTATAGAAATAACTGATTCTACAATGTTGATATGGTACCTGCAACTTAGCTGAATTTGTTTATTAGCTCTGGTAGCTTTTTTGTGTCTTCTTTGAGATTTCCTATTTATAGGATCATGTCATCTGCAAATATGATAGTTTTAGCTTTTCCTTTCCAATTTGGATGTCTTTAATTTTTGCCTTTTCTTCTCTAAAAGTTCTGCCTAGAACTTCCAGTACATTATTGAGTAGCAGTGAGGAAAGAAGGCATTCTTATGTTTTTTCTTTGAGGGAAAGCTCTCAGTCTTTTACCATTGAGTACAATATTAGCTGTGGATTTTTCAAAAATACCCTTTATCATGTTGAAGAATTTTCTCTTTATTCCTTGTTTTCAGAGAGTTTTTTTCATGAAAGGGTGTTCATTTTTGTCAAATGTGTTTTCTGAGTCAAGTGAGATAATAATTTGTTTTCCTCCTTCTATTAATGTTATGTATTACATTGTTAGACTTTTTTTTTAATTGAGATATAATTGACATGCATTAACACTAGTTTCAGGTATACAATGTATTGATTTGGTATTTGCATATATTGTAAAATGATCACCACAGTCAACATCCATCACTATACATACTTACTATTTTATTATCTTGTGATGAGAATTTATTAAGATCTACTCTCAGCAACTTTCAAATATACAATACAGTGCAATCAACTATAGTAACCCTGTTCTACATTACATCCCCAGGACATACTTATTATAACCACCAATTAGTATCTTTTGTAAGTTAGTATCTTTTGACCACCCCATCTCTGACAACCACCAATCTTTCTCTGTATCTGTGATTTGGGGGTTTTTTTGTTTTTTATCTTCAGAGTCAATATATAAGTGAGATTATATGGTATGTGTCTTTGTCTGACTTATTTGACTTAGCCTCATGGTTCTCCATATTATCTCAAATGGAAAGATTTCCTTCTTTTAATGACTGAAAATATTCCATTATGTATATATGCCACATTGTCTTTATCCATTTCTCCATCAGTAGACAGTTAGTTTACTTCCATATCTTAGATGGAATTGTAAATAATGCTACAGTGAACATCAGGATGCATGTATCTATTCAAGTTAATATTTTGATTTCCTTTAAATAAATACCCAGAAGTTGGAATTGCTGGATCATATGATAGTTCTATTTTTAATTTTGTTTTTTGGTATCATTAATCTACAATTACGTGAGGAACATTATGTTTACTAGACACCCCCTTTCACCAAGTCCCCTCCACAAACCCCATTATAGTCACTGTCTATCAGCATAGTAAGATGATACAGAGTCACTACTTGTCTTCTCTGAGTTGCACAGCCCTCCCCTTGCCTCCCTCCACATTTTACCTGCTAATCTTAATGGCCCCTTTCTTACCCACTCCCCCCTTATCCCTCACTTCCCACCCATCCTCCCCAGTCCCTTTCCCTTTGATAACTGTTAGTCCATTCTTGG